GGGAAAGAGGGACGGGGGCCCCGGAAAAGATGGGCTTCATCAGCATTTGGAGCTCCCAGCTCCATGCCCTTCAGCTGGGCGTGCAGAGAGATTAATCCAACATCTTATCTTGGTGTCCAGGTCTCATAAAGGAGAATGATCAATAAGGTGGATTGGTCAACCAGGTAATGTCCATTCATACAATGGAGCATAATAGCAGCTTCTGGCCTTCAAAATATTCATTAGCTTGAAAAATTATTCATAGCTTGAAAAATCATTAAATAGATCAGATTGGTGAAGGGACAGACACCAAGGCTCAATAGTGTAATCGCTTGGCCCTTCTTCCCTGTCTTGTGTCTTCTCTCTCCCTCCTGGGCCTCCCCCCACAGTTCCTGATACTAGTGTGTCCGATTCCAGGGGAGAACTCTGAGGCTGGCGCCCCCACCGGCTTAGGGAAGGTGAAAAGGCAGCTCCTCGTGGAAGTGGTCGGACACTGCTTCTATAAGGTCAACAACTACTTGGACCACCTGTACAAACCACAGCCCATAAATGAGATGCTCAGATCTGGGATTGAGATGGTTGGTAAGGAGATGGAGTACAGTGTTCTGAGCAGGAACTGTGAGCACTTTGTCACCGATCTGAGATATGGCAAGGCCCGCAGCCGGCAGGTAAGGCCCTCTGTGGGGGGCTCCCTCTCCCTTCTGTGGGTTTACTTGCAATCATGTCACAGAGCTGACTACCCGGAAGAAAAATTACCCTGAATGATGCAAAATTATGCTTTCTGCTTCCTGACGGCTGGGAGTTAGGATATCAAAGAACAAATCTCAGGTCTGTTCCTCATCCAGTCAGGGTCTCCGAACAGGTCACTTCCTCTCTGCCCTCAGTTTCCCCATGTGTAGAAAAGGGGGATGTTTGGAGGATCTCTGAGACTCTGGCCACATCTATGCCTTTAGGATCCTTTGTATCTGAGACCCACCCTAAAGGCAGCTCCTGATGCCCTGTGTGCTGTCAGGGAAAGGGTGGGCCAACACTGAACCAAGAGAGGTCTCCTAAGGCCCCAGAGAGCCCTCGGGCATGAAATGCTCAAGGTCTGTGGCCGATGTCAGAGCTCAAGAACATGTTATGTAAAATCTGGCATACCCTTACCGCTCCCTCTTTCCC